GGGGGGGGGGGGGGGGGGGATATCGGAGGACTTTACCTGACATTTGAATTTCAGGTAAATGAAGTGTAATAATTATAATAATAATAAGTTTCGGGAGAAAAGGGGGGTCTGTGGGTCCTCCCCGAGAAACGTTTTACATTACTTTATTACGCAAATTTTACCTGAAAATGTCAAAATTTTAACTTGAATTTTACATAATTTTTGCCTGAATTTCACAGTAGGTGGGTTTTACACCCCGCTCCCACACCTCCCGGTCGCTACGTCCCTGACAACCTTTCCTTGAGAAAATATGACTTAAATTTCTAAAAATCCGCCATTTTGTTCTATTTTTAGTAACAATATGGCGGATTTTTCGACATTTGTATCTTCCCATAAAATGGTTGTATTTAGAAACAGATTTCAGTTTTAAAGTACCCTTAGTCTGCTCTTCTAAATGGATTTATAAAATCACCAAAAGCTTATTTTCAATTTTTTAGCGCCAAGTTTGTGACGTAATTTACCCGCCAAAAAGGTAATTATTCCAAAAACGATTTGTAAGAACGACATGTTCTATATTCATGGAAAATTTGGTAGAAACTAGAAACAGAATGAAAATTTCAGAAGTTGAAGCATATTGGTGCTTTTGCATGCATCTCCTACTAGTTCAGACAAGATCTCTAAAGAAATATTTCCAAAATTATAAAGAAGATGTTGGGAAATTTGCTTTGAATTTCACGTTAACCCAGGGTTAGGTCAACCCAGCTTTGAACAACTGGCCTCAGGTGTTTAACACTTTGACATGTTCAAACTACGCATTTTTAGGATTTACTCAACAGATATTGGGTTTTTTATATATTTTGATAACTCTACTTTCAAATTATATTAGTTTTAATAACAGATAGTTCGTTGCTATGACGACGTATGTGTACGAAATTCACTCCAAAATGGCCTATCGTCTCGTATAGTTGGAAAAAAGCATGGTGACCCCCAACTTTTTTTCGTGCATTATTTTACTTGGACGAAAAGCTAACAATTAGCAAAATATAAAAAAATTCTGTAATGATACTTTTTTGGAAAATGCGAAAATGTCATATTGTAAAATTTTTTTGGCATTACATTATTTTTTGTATAATGAAAGTTTTTAGCGGTGCAACAGAGGCGGTGCAATACAGCATGCAAAATTTGAACATAGGTCACCAGACAAAATGGAAAATTCTAATGACGTCAGCAATTGACATAAAACGCTATGGAACACGCGCAATGGCGTGATATGGCGCGAGCAACTGCTCACGTCAGGTCATTTTGGAAGTTCTTTCATTTTGTTAATCAGTTTCCGCGACCTGCGCGTAAAAATGGCCAACCGGTTTTGAGTTCGCGATTCTTGAGCAGAAATTTTTGTGATAACTATATCGAGCCACCTTAAACGGGTTTTCTAGGCTGTCTATTTGAGCAGGGATTATTGAAGCAATAGCCGATGATTGTTCGTTTGCTGGTGAAGTGGATATACCACCACCATTTAATTTAGCGGCCCGTTTTTCTTTACTCTTTAATTACACGGCAAAAAACGATCAGGTTGTTGCAATACTGATGAAAACAGGATTGAACAATGCTTTGCTGCCCACATTGTTCACAGTTGTCAACAATATTGAACATTGTTACACCCGATTCAGGCTCAACAATATTGTTCAATATTGTTGACAAGTGTGAACAATGTGGACAGCAAAACATATATTGTTCAATCCTGTTGAGCAGCAGGCTCGCGGCGTTTTTTGCCGTGTAGCAAGAACCTTTTTGGCACGCGTCTTCAAATTTTCCCAACATTTCTTTAGTTGCTTAGTAATCCCACGAATCAGGTAAGGATATGCTACGAGTTATGAAAGAGTTTGAAAAGTGTAATGTTATAAAAGAACACTGACCGAATTGTCGCATATAGTATTACCACAGGCACAGATGAAGTATATACCAGATGTGTAACTTAATAGGACTTCGTGTCCTCAAATTTCCCTAGATGTACACGTCATGCTCACGCCATGACACTTGCTAGGAAGATGGCGTCCTGGAAAACATGAACTTTTGCATTTTATTGCGCCTTTCTTGGATCGAAATTTACAGATTAAACAATCAAGAGCCTCATTTGTTGAATGTTTAAAGTTGTTAAAAGCAATTAAAGTTCTAGAAAAGGTGTTGAAAACATTTTTGAAGGCAATGACGTACTACCAAATGACGAATAATCACGCGAGCGACACTTGCTAGGAAGATGGCGACCATGGGACAACTTTTTTACTGAAGTTACACATCTGTTCTTACTTAATCTATGCCACAGGCACGCTTATATTGAGTACCTCTCTTATTTCATTTCTCATCAATTGAATAGAAAACGATAACGACGTCCAGCTAGTTAGAATTCCTACATTAACTCCAACTCAGCAACAACAGCCATCGACTGCATGTTGTAGAGGCTGCATTGTCGTTATCATCGACCACAAGGAAACCAATAGCCTATCTCGCATGCAAGAATGGAAATAATCTCTTTAAATAATCCGAATTTTCTCTCTACCGTATTTCTATAGTTCGTATTTGAGACACATTATATCTTCGCTCTGCCTCTGGGCGTGTTTGGGGATTCAACAGTGGTGTCATGAGATAAGGCCGACAAGGATAGCCACTATCACCCAGTAAAACGCCATCATTGTCGCCTCGTTCAAACTTTGCACATAAGCGACTGTTGTAAAAAATTCTAGCATCACGAATGCTACCTGGCCAATGTGTGACAATGTTTAGAATTTCCAAATTTGCTCCGCAAACAGCTTGCACGTTAATGGAAGAATACCCTTTTCTATTTCGATACATTTTTGCATTCTGGCTTCCTGGAGCTGGTATTTTAACGTGGGTACAGTCTATTGCCCCAACCACATTGATTGGGGAATTCACTAATGCGCCATAAATTAAGCTTACTTTGGTGTACGTATTCTCATCACGAAATTTTATGTAATTATTCTTTAATCGAGCAATAGCTATATCTGGTCTGATAATGACCAGCAGCAATTCCTGGAAAGCTTCCTTGGTCAACCTGTATCTGCTCCTAAATTGTTGGTCGTCATACTTCTCTATATCGAAATTATATGCCTTCCGTCTATTCTGTTATTGAATATATAACATTCTCTACAGCATTCTGTCTAGTTAGCCATGTATCGGCCACATTTTTCTGAGGTAAATATTTGTGACTGCAGCTGTGCAGGTCAAAGGAGGTATTCACTCACACTTCACATTTCAGCTTTCTTCGAGGGTGAGTGACGTTTTTAAATGACTGGAGTGCGAGTGTAATAATCCTAGTAAGTTGCACTCATTGAGAATGAGCGTCCACTAGTAAAGTGTGAGTGTGGTTTTAGAATACAGGCGTTAGAGTTGATGAGAGGGATAACGAGGGATCTGCTTGCAGTCCATTTTTGCCGTTTTTGGAATCGTATAAATAAACTGCAGAGAATAGACTGCTTCTCAGCTTTGCCCCAATTTAAATAAACAAGCTCTCAATCACACGAGAGAAGCGTTTATGTTAAGAATAGTGAGATACTGTGTTCGTATTTCAATACAGCACAACAACTGTTTAAAAATTGTGAACTGGTAGATTGTATAAAACAGTAGATCGTCCATCTTTTTACTCACTATATTTAAAATTATCGTCGAAACCATTCTATCCATGCAATATATGGAATAATTCCAAAGACAAAGTGCAAGCTACTTTATACATGACCAATACAACATCATTACTTTTGATTCTTTAAAATATGGACTCGAAATGAGTCGGATATTCATCTGCAATAGAAGAGCAAAGACTCGCAAGTCATTCGTGTTAAAATCATGACAGTCAAGGTGATCAGAGTAATTGTTTACCACTTTGGTACTTTATCTTTTGCTTAAAAAACTCATTAATAATTCAGGAGGAAAACACAAAGAAAAATCATAAGCGTGTCGTATCTTTATATGGGATAAAAAATCATATTAATTTACATAAACTTTAGCTTTAATTTTCTCGGTTTAGACAAAGTTTATTTTAAAAATTACTTCGCCAATGAACTCATATATAAGATGAGTCGTTTTTTGTCTTGTAGTCGTGTTTTATCTGATATAAAACGCTCGGCTGCGCCTCGCATTTTATATCTGATAAAACACTCCTACGCGTGCTTTAAATAGCACTTGACATTCTTTAGTGTCTGTTCGAGATTCAAATCAATCTGGGTACAAGATTGGATCAAATAAGTATATTCGCGAGATTGATTAAAATCGCGAGTCTGGCGATAAAAGCGTGCGTAAAATTGTATGCATACAGTTGCAACTCTCATTGCTCGAGATTAGGCTTGTATGAATAACAGTGGCTTCACTTGCACAGTTGCCCTCTGCAGGGGAGAACAGTTTAGATCTGATGAGCTATCCAGTATATAGTGGATATAATTCATATAAAGTTAGGTTACTTTACAGTGATGTCTTGCTTACCTTCGACTTGATACCATTTCCCCAGATCTACCTTCAGCGTTGCTTTCCCAGTGCGACGAGCATAGCAGAAAACATCGAGCTGTCGAGAATTTACTTCCTGAATATAAAATTTACAGTCTCCTACTGCTAACGCATTTCTATGGCGGTATAAAACAGTGATTTTATTCTCGTGATAATCTGTAAACTTTGAATTAGGGTCGGTTAACGCGATACTACAAAGTAGTACTTTATCTCCACAAGTTACTGTTCGGCTATGGCGTTGAATCTTCACTTTGTCTGCGTAGAAGCTACACAGCCATCTTGTTACAGCCTCCATTCCTTTGTAGTCAAACATATACTTGATGACGAATAATTTATTTGCCCGCGAGGATGCAAAATATGGCATTCCCATGGGTCTATGTATTTTATTGTTCTGAGAGCATTCTAGATCATCAGGGGAATTATATTTCGGACCAATGTTGAAAGGCTGGACTAGGATGTTTTTAAACGAGTAACAAAAGAATACAGTGTCTATAATAGAGGGGAAAATATTCTCAACAACAGCCAACAGAAAATCGGCGCCCAAGCTCTTTACAAAGCTCTTTATAACCTTTTTCAGATATATAGATTATAAAGCACAACTTTGTACGCAAGAATAGTCTTCGGTATAATAAGTTCAGTAAGATTTTTGATCAATCGATCTTACAGTTCGGTCTTTTGTTGGGAATGAGAACAAAAAACCCACTTAAAACAACTCTGTTAATTTCCATTTGTTGAACTCCATAAATATTAACATAATTCACAGAACATTAACAGTTATATTATTTACGGTGCAAGCCTGCAAACACTATATTTTTTTCATTGCTGCTCAGTTCACATTTACACGAAGATATTCAGCGCTAGAAATCTAACAATAATACACACACAGAATTTTAAACTAGTATTGAAATTAACATTAATGAGTATAAAATCAATAGTCTTAGAAGCCACAAACGCAGAAGCCCTGGGTACGAGGTCGGTTATAACATTAACGACAAGAAGTGAACTGGGTTTGGTTCTGTGTATTTAATTTTATTTGCATGTCAGATAATAAGCAGGAATTTTATACAATTTATATGAGGAATTGGAATAAATATGAAATTATATTATTATCCCCGAGTATATAACTACTTATACGAATGATTGGATATTTTTGGGCAATGAATAAGCGATATTGCATACGTTTTGTAAATCAATGAAAATATATATATCTTTAACAATTTCAAAATAATTCATGCACCCAAAGACCTAATTGCCTAACACACTTGGTAACCATTCATCTGATCTATATCTTTTCAATGCTTGGTTACCTCCGTTCCATTCTATGCTTAAACTATCAGTGGTAGCTTTGCATAGGAATTATCCGAAACGGTAGGACAGGATAGCTAGAGTATCCGCCTTTTCCGATAGATTTCAGATCAGCGAGCAATGGTGATAAAAATGCGTTAGTCGATTAGGTCTGTAGTCAAATTTTAGCTTAAATTATACAACCATACTGCTATAGCATATTCCAGATTAGTGATCTATGTATTACAAGCTAAAGACATTACTGAAAAATCAAGACATTTTGTCTTTTCGTTAAGACTGAAAATTATTAGTCTACGAGTATCTTCTATGCAAAAATTGCTTTACACGTTCTACTCGCGTTAATCGTTAAAATTTCTCAATCAAAGGGAGAAACATCAAACAAAAAATTAAGAGAAACGAGTGTTACAAGATATAGTAAATAGACTAAAGTTAAAGTCGGTTCTGAAATTATGAAATACAAAAAATACCCATGAAATTCAATACAGGGTTGACACTAGTATTATTAAGATTGGTCCATTAGAATTTAGAACCAATGAACAAAGTCCGGTTCACCCAATGGATCATTGAAAACATGAATCAGTTGTGTAAACTGTCAATAGGTTTAATGACAGTTTAGACCAATTGTAATAATAGTAGTGCCATTTTATAATAAGCTGTGTAAAAACGTGGAACATAGTTATTGCATTGTTTTTGGAACACCCTGTAAATTGATTCATCACCTATGTTGGTCTAAGTTTCACTGGTTTAGGTTGATGCAAAAATATGGTCGTATCATTGTCACATGTGCATTGATTTTACGCTGATCAATGTACTGATCATCTTTTGCAAAAACTTAGACAAAACATACATAAGCAGTTTTATTGTATTTGGTCTATCGAGATTTCAAAACTTCAATGACAACGTTAATTATGAGTAGTCCCTGGCCTGTTGGACATGTTTTTTTTAAATGAAAACACTGTAATTGACAAAGAAGAAATGTGGCAAACACGTTTATATATCAAAGTTTCGGACTATCGTTATAAAACGGAAAAAATAGTCAAATTTTCCAGGTTACTGTTCTGAAAAATAAATCACAAAATCAATGAAAACAAGAGAAAAGTGAAGCAATTTTTGCAAAAAAGACATTTCGCTAAATTCGGCATTAATAATTATTACTGGATTCACCATCCTTCCCGACAGGCTTCGCGCGAAGTCCGGGCTCACGTTCTAATGTGTTGAACAGCGGATTCTCGAATGCTCGGGCATGACCAATCTGTGGCGACTCGATACCACGTGACGACCCATATAGGGGATTTGAAATCATCTGCGACTCGTCTTCGTCTTCATCGAAGCCATATATGGGATTAACTTCTCCATCGCCATTGGTCGATACTTGATGACGCAACATGACGTCAAGATAATGCTCGTCGTCTTCTTCCGGTAGTCTCACGTGATCATACTGCTGGCCTTTTCGCAATGCTTGTTGGAAATTCACCTTTTGGGATCGGTCGGCATAGCATGCGAATAGTACAACAAATACGAACAAGACTGCGCCCAAAATGGCTAGGAAATAAATAGCCCATCCCGGCAACTTGCTTTCATCGTTTCCAGTTAGGGAGCTTACAGCTCCACTTCGGGTTTTACATTTAAAAGTTTCCACATCTTTTAGAGTCGGGCACAAGTAATCGATAAACGAGAAGCCTTTAGACGTATAGGCCGGAAAACGGTTCTTTTTGGAGCAATTTTTCGATGGATATGATTGATTGAAAGAACAGAGGAAGCCTTCTCTAGAAAGAGCTTTATGACCGACTCTTGCAACCACAGTTACTGATATATTATGAGCATTCACTTTTATGTCATCTAAGACGCTAACATCACTCAAATTGTAAGATCCTTCTTCGCTAAAACTGTCAGCATAGGCATACCAAACCTCAATCACTTTCTTTAGCCAATCCTCGACTTCGATTCTCATTGCAGCCTTCACTTCTCCGTCCAGAACCTTAACCCCGCCTTGCTGCAAGATTTTCAGCAACTTAATATCAAAATACAAAGTGGTTACATTTTTACCAGAAAAGCACACGTCGTCACTGCTAGTACTACTTCCCCCGGCTTCAGTGTTTCCACTTTCAGTGTTTCCACTTTCAGGTTCTACAGGTTCCTTCTTATTTTCTTCACTGAAAGTTGATGGGTATGGAACGTAAGACTGGCCTTCTTTACATTGCTCTTCATTCCTTCCGAGATATCGCTCACATCGTGAGCCGCCATAGCCTCCTTTGCAAGCACACTCATAAGAACCTAGAGAAAAATAGCAAATTTGAAGCGAACAGACAGATTTCAATTTCTGTATAAGGTATTACTATGAGATAGATTTTACTTGCCATTAGACCTTAAAGTGCTACTAACCACAAATATGATTTTTGGCCTACGAAATATTTGGATTATTCTAAGAAGAAATGTAATATTTCTTTATAGCAAAAAAAAACCAACCTCGTCTTGATGTAATATTTAAATCCGACTATGAGGACTGGACTAGATTTCAAGTCCGCGCAATTTGATCAAGCCCGAGGCGAAGTCCGAATTTGAGGATTTGAAATGACATCTCATGCGAATAAATCACTACTTAATTGATTTTGATCCAGTCCAAGGACTGAATAAATTTTGATCCAGTCCTAGGACTGGATTAATGTACTTCATCAGGTATTCAGTATTATCATGTGAGCAAAATAAAGTAATATGGTTACTCATAAATTATTAATGAGTTTGAAATTGACTTTCCGGCTCTTGAAGCTACCGGATATGTTGTCATTTGGGGAATTTTAGGTTCATAAAACAAGAGAAAACAAATTTGCAATTCCCCAAATGACGTCACATCCGGAACTTTGAGAGTAAAAAAGTCTATTATAAGATGAACTTTTTACTATAAAGATATATTAAATTACTTCTTAAAATTATCCAACTATTACACGTACCAAAAATCATATTTGGTGTTAGTCGCACTTTAAAAATGACGTATCACAGCAGCTGAGTACAAACGGCGAACTTCAAATCAAATTTGAAGGTAAATTGTACATGTTTTAGACAGTTGATTTCAAAATACGAATCAAAGTTCGCCGTTTGCGGTCTGCAGTTTACGCGATATTTTCAATCCTAATTTGGAACGTTGTTTGCAACAACAGTTTTGTAAATTCAGCGATTTCCAACAATAACAATTTTTATAAATAACAAATTTTAGCAAGATTAATCGAATTTGTTTGGATTTTTCTCTCTCTTTCCTCTCTTGTTTATGGAGTTTTGAATTTGCTGAACCATCAATAAACTAGCAGTAAATCAAAGAAAAACTTACCAATATGATCGATACATTCACCATGAGCTCCACACGGTCCATTAGCACAATCATCAATGTTAGTCTTGCAAAGCCAGTCATTAAATCCTCGATTACAATGACACGTGATATTATTAATTCCATCCTCACAAGTACTATGCTCTTCATTACAGCTAGTGTAATTAAAATTCCTCGGGTCGCATTCATTAATATTATGACCACATTGAGTGCCATTAAATCCCGGCAAACAGACGCAATTAAACGTCAAACGTTCGTCATGACACGTTGCCTTATTTTTACAAGGGGCACAAGCCTCATTTGCCGTTGTCTCATTTATGTCACAGTACGTAGCCGAATTTGCACAATCGTCAATTTCAGTACAATTATACCCATCGCCTTTCAATCCATCGAAGCACGCACAATTATAATTAAAGCCATCAATTCTACTACAAGTTGCATTCTCGTTACACTTATTCTCCGGCAAACACGGATCAACTCTCGAAACATTAACAAAAATATTTCCAACAAATGACCTGGCTGGTTCGCCATCATCCGTGACCCGAACCAAAATATCGTATCTCGGGCTTATATCGTAATTTAGGAATCTCTCATTCAAAAACAAAAATGACCTAAACAGCTCAAAAGTGCGTTGTTTTACTCCCAATTTGTTCAAAATAGGAGGATCGTAGCTGGCGTTGTAAGGTACTTTAACGATTTTGAAAATACTGTGGTTCGAAAGTAAAGTGTATTCGACAGTCTGCCATTTTTCAGGATTATTGCAAATTAGCTCGCTGATATTTGTACCTACAGCCGTGGTTTCGTTTAATTCGATGTGGTCAGGGTTTAAACTAATTTCATTCGCCCCTTCGTTTATTTCGTTTACAGTGATACTTAGCTTCTTGACAAATGATAGTCTTGGCTGCCCATCGTCTGTTGCTTCAATCACTACGCTTATATTAGGGGAATCTAATCTTTCGTAGTCCAGTTTCGCGTTCGAGATCACCTTTAAGAGGTTTGTGTCTTTTGTAACCTGCAAGAAATAGCATATATAGATTTTTAAATCGGCAACATATGGGTTCCAAAACGGTCAACATTGGAATATAAACTACCATCGTTTGTTTCTCTGTTATAGATAGGTTATTATACAGTAGTCTCTAATGGCTATAAGACAAAAACAAAGTTAAGCGGTTAACGTTGATTGAATGTCAAACTGATGTTCAATAGCTCCTTCAATGTCCGCCATCTTTGGCCTCAGCTTTCCTATTGCCCGAATAACTGAAGTTCTAACGCCAGATATACAGTACATGGTGTTCACTGGTTTACGTTTAGCTATTCACAATACTGGCAAATCAAATGTTGGAAACACATTGTAGCAATTAATTTCAATCTCAAGTTTACATTTAATAAATACAGGGTGTCCCCAAAAAATGCAATAACTCATGTTCCACATTTTTACACAGCTTATTATAAGTTGGTAGTAAGATTATTATTATGGTCTACGAGAACCAATGCTATAGCTGTTTCGGGTAAGGGGTCATCCAACCTATAGACCCATTGTACATGACGTCACAGCGTCGGTGACGATGCATCTGGAGGACAAACTGGCAATCTATGCATAATATAACTTTTGTAAACAAAGCAAATTTTGTAAAACTTTATAATAATTTTGTATTAAAATGGTCAATTTTTGCGCTATATGTGGTTGTTGTACCCAAACAGATATTGTTAGGTAGCATCTGGAGGACACTCTAAGGATTTGTGACGTCAGTGCAATGGGTCTATTGGTACTTAACGCACGTAATTTCAATGGTCCATTGGGTGAACCAGATTTTGTTTTAAGATCATAACAGTGGTTCTGCTAAACCAATTGTAATAATCTTAGTGTCAAAGTAGCATATTTAAACAATTTTGCGATCCTTTTTTGCACTGAAAAAGCTTTTCAATTTCTTAATTGTCGCACACACTTACATTAAACGTATCATTTATTTTCCCAATAACGTGGAACGAACATGTTTGATTTCGATCAGGATCTGTGCATATCAAATATCCAAGTGAATGGCCAACATTAGCGATTTCATCAACTTCATATGAACCGTTCAAGAAGATATCTGTTGGTGCTTCGTTCACATCTTTGATCGTGATATCAAACGATTTTGAGAGGCTTAGAGGAGGTACTCCGTTGTCGGTACAATTCACTGTGACTAAAACAGAAATAATGAAAGGGTGAATAAAATGATTTTTTTTTGCATCTCACTTGATAGAACTCCAAGATATGCGGCTGCTTTTAGTAAAAATATTAAAATATATTACAATCGTCTCTCTTGGTCTCACTTGAAATCAAACACCTCTGATACAAAATGCTGCTGAAGGACAACTTCAAACGATTATTCATAAGTATTTCTGGGATTACACAAAAAACTCCTCACTCTACTGCATGCAATTTAAATTTGATGAAACAAATTTCGATATGTCATTCAGTTTCTCTGATTAAATATTAATATCCCAACATTAATGTCATGACAAAATACATTATATACTGAGGCGAGCAGGCCTAACATATTTCCCGATTTTTGAGGTAGAATTTTCCCTGTCTCGTATACGCCTTTGATGAAAATAATAAGATTGGACAATTATAAATTACCTACGCAGCCAATTCGTGCATAAACTTACTTGAAATCGTGCTGTTCCTTTCATGATCAAGTACGGCTCCACTCTTTACCCAAAGAACCGATTGACCATGTGTGTTATTCATGACAAAGAACTCGGAGTCTTGAACAAGACAACTATGAGACTGACTAGTATCTTGATCAAGAACTGTAAATTCAACAGAAGTCTCTCCCGGCGTGTTCTCCTCAACTGTCAGGGTCAAAGGTTTGAGATCATATGGTTTGTCGTTCGAATCAAGTATTTTCACTGTAATACTTTCCTAAAAACAAAACAGAGCGATTTCTGGTGATATTCATACTAACCGCCAACTGAATTGGGCTCAGAGGCGGGCACAGGGGGGGAGGCAACCGCGTCCCTCAATGATTCCTGAAAGCCTTTAAATGGTAGTCGAATAACTGTATAACGAGGTTGTAACAATAATTTTTCAACCAACCGAGCGAGCGACGTTTTGTCAACACGGACGTCAGATTACCGAGGCAGGGGAGGGATTAAAAACTGCGTTTGTATCAGTTTGTGGTAATCTTCAACAAGATTTTTAAAGTTTATTGGTTCCTTACACGAGCGTTATGATGCAAAATGCGGCCAAAATTAGCTACACCAATTTTCAGGTGACTGCAGTACAGTACAGTACATTAAAAAACTCATTAATAATTCATGAAGAAAACACAAAGAAAAATCATAAGCGTGTCGTATCTGTATATGTGATACAGATTCATGTTGATTTACATAAATTTTAACTTTGATTTTCTCGGCTTTGACAACGTTTATTTTTAAAATTACTTCGCCAATGAACTCATAAGCTGAGTCGTTTTTTAAGTTGTTTACAACATTCGCGTCCGTGTTGTATCAGATATACAAACTCTCGCCTTCGGCTCGAGTTTGTATATCTGATACAACACGGCCGCTCATGTTGTAAACATTACGTACAGTACAGTACAGTACAGTACAGTACAGTACAGTACAGTACAGTACAGTACAGTACAGTACAGTACAGTACAGTACAGTACACTTTGCTACTACTAAGCTAAACTGAACTAAAGTACGTAATTCAAACGTAAAACACTTTCTTCATAATGGATTACAAATTAGGACAATTACATGTACCTGTTTCGATAACGGTGGATTTCCATTGTCAGTCGTCTGTACAAGAATAATAACTTCAGTTTGATTTTCGAAATCAAGACGGTCTGATTCTTTTACCACCAGTTCATTACCATTGATGTAGAAAGTATCTGAAAATATAGACATATTAATAATCCCCGTTGAAATGAGTCGAACATCGTCCAGAATTGTTGGGCCAACGATGATGAACAATGTATGTTGGGAGAAATTTTAATTAAACAAAGTCAAACTCAATCCAACATCATCCAAAATCGACAAACATTACCCAAAACCTTAACGGTTTTCAAACAAGACCAACAATGTTGTATGGTGTTGTATGGTGTTTCTCATTGGAATCCAGGTATTTTCGTGCAAACAGATATTTCACATGTGAGAATTTATGTGGAATTGCAGTAACATTTCACATGTAAATATGCTCATATATGAAATACAAAATTTTCATATATGAAACTTGAGCCGGTTGCACATAGTTCTTCGCATGTAAAATTAATTCAAGGTCCATTCATAATGTGAAAATTAATTTCATATGTAAAATTATTCTTATCTATGTCGAATTTTTACACTTCAGATGTGAAAAGGCATTTTCTCATGTGAAATCATATGCGAAACTCGCGAGGGTCTGTTGAGGTTATTGGACAGTGCCCGAGATATCCCAGCGGTAGTTTATATGGAATTACAAATGCACGCGGGGGATTTTTTAGTCCAGCTGTTTTTTGTTTAGAATTATTCACATATTGCCAAATTATCTGAGCTTGTTTCTTTGCATCATTATACAAAAACATTTTATATACCTCTTACAAATAACGGATTCAAATTAATCGACATATAGTTGTAGTATAATTTGCTTATCAAAAGTTGTTAGTTTGGCAAACTATTGTTTGGCAAAGTATTTTCTTTGGTCAATTTACTTTACAATTCCATCATAAATGGTGGAAAATTTCTTTGCATATAATTTCATTCAATTTTTGTTTGTTTTATTCGTTAGTTTCAGAGGCAGTCAATTTGTTTGTAAAGCTCAATGATTAATGAACTGCAGATATATACTTACACGTATGGTCGAGCAATGTATAGAAATGAGTCTGATTTTTGTCAGGGTCATCTGTTATGAAGTTTCCTACTATTGCTCCATTCGCGGCATTTTCTTCGACTCCAGAGGAATTGAGTGTAATGGTCACAGGTTTGTCATTTATATCAATAATCTAAAACAAGTATTAATGTAAAAAGGTTATCTAAAACATGGTCTTTGAACGAAGCTTTAATACGTTGTATCCTTGCTCTATTTATCTTGATCAGAAGATCGAAGGAAATTAAATTGTGCATGTACAAGCAATTCGTGATTCCCCTTATTACGTTTTCGTAGCGCTTTGCATTGTGGTTAATATAGTGGTATCACTGATATTCAAGATGGCTTATTTTCTGTCCTGACCCGTGCAAGAACTTTTAAAAAAAGCTAGGGTCAGGTGCGCGATAGCCAGCAGCAAAATATTCGCAAAAAATTCAATATTTTCATTCGAGGCCGCGCTACTTCATCAGTGATACCACTATAACCACAACGCAAAGCGCTACGAAAACGTAATAAGGGGAATCTAGTATTGCAGGCTTTGCGATAATAAGGGCTTTGGTGACGTAGGACGTCAGAGCATGCGCCTTTCACTTTTGATTTCGCGGGTTCGATTCTCGCTGGGGACTCATGACGCTTATGTGAAAAGAGTCGGTCAACGCTCTACCGAAACTCGTGGGTTTTCTGGGGTACTCCAGTTCTCCCACAGGGAACGTTGACAGAGTGGGTTGGAGTTAGCCCCAAACTGACTCTTAATTCCACCGTAGCTGTTGCTCTGTGATCAGATACGCGTGATAATGTGGCCGCCAGAGGCGCCCTTAGAAAGCCTTCGAATGGATCAGATTGAGCTGCGTCCTTCGCAATTTAGCTTAGCTCTCTGCTGCAAGTGTGGATGATTAGCACACCACCATTTAGTTACTTACTTAGTTACATATACACACGTAAAATTCTTACGAGCTGTCGATGAGTTGTGTTTGTTCGCAGTGCTTGTTCCCAGTTGTTGTAACAAGCTGTTAACAATTTGTAACAAGCTTTGATGGCATCGACAGACTTAATTGTTACAAGGTTGTTCCAACAAGTCTGATACAATTATGATATAACAAGAATGCTACAAGGTTGACGACACAAGATTGTAACGATATTGTTATATCATGAGTCATGTCTGTATCAGAATTGTTGGAACAACCTTGCCAACAAGTCTGATAGGCGCCGTTTACACTATACCGGATTATCTTTCATACAGGATTCATTTTCACTCTGAAGTAAAAAACCAGGGTGTTTACACCATGCCGCTGCGCTCTGTTGCCCGTGCATGTATTTCACTGTCGCCATGGAAACAAGAGAAACATTTTTTTGCCAATATACTAATAATATAAATTTAAATTTATAATATTTAAATTTATTAAAAACAAGAAGTAACACACATGCACGTCTTCTTTTTAAAGTATAACTTTTTGTTTAAAAAGCTTGACCACCAGACGTTGCTTCGTTTCGCTCTAATCCAAAATTGACGAGTATTTCTTTAAATTTTGCTCTTTCGAAAGCGAAAAGTCAATGTTATTATCGTTTTCTTTATTTGTCTTCGCCAGAAATAGTACATGGTTGTAAGGGGGAAACAAATAACAGCTATAAAGTATTGTAAAAACGAGCAAATAAAGGCGACAATGTTAAAACGTACACGCCAAAACCGTATATTTTTCATATTACCTCCAAAGCGGAGTGATTTTTACGCCGCGTACCGGATTACTGTGGGTGTAGTGTAATCAGCAGCCGGATCCGGTATGAAAATCGCTCCGTTCCGATGCAATCCGGTATAGCGGTGTAAACGGGGCCTTAAAGGTGATCTACAGTCCGATCTGCGCATGTGCACAAATGAGCCCACTTTTTATGATACAAACAGTTTAACTATGTTTTGAGTTCTTGAAAAGCCTAATTGTTGTTTCTTGATCATTTATTATACTCTAGAAGCTTGAAAATATAAATAGTCGTCACATCGCATAATGACATTTTGAAAACGCAATATTTTACCTTGATAAAATATGTTTACAAACAAATACAGAGGGTTAATTACGAGTTATGAAATTAATAGATATACAAGGGCAATTGTTAAGTTTTTTAGATACGTATTCGTCAAGAAAACTATACTTTCTGAAAACTCATTATGTGATGTCACACCGGTGATATTTGCATATGAAACAAAGTTGAATATCTTGAAAAGGGAACAAGTTACAAAAATTCTATAAAAGAAAGTATTAAGTAATTTTAAGTGATCTTTAAAAGCCACCATAAACCTTTGGGGTGAAATTTCGTGTCATAGGCACTTTAACAAGTTGTTCCATACAACTTTTGGCAGACTTGCTACAAGATGCGAGATTTTTGCGCGTGTACTCTATATGAATTTCACGATCTCTTGTATGAAGAAATCATCATTCCTACCTCAATTTTAAACTCTTTAGTTTGGTTCAGAGAAGGCGTCCCATCATCCTTCGCGACCACGTTGATCAAGTAGCTATTCTGCTCCTCATAATTAAACATTACTGACGTCAGCAAACTACTTCTGTTGATAAAGAAGTTTGAGGAATCAACGCTTTTGTCAGCAAACTCAAATGTAATGGTCTATAAAACCATATAAAATAAAAATTAATTTATTGTGGGGTAGTTTGCAAATTGTACTTCCGAAACAAATGCATGGACACTATAGTTTATATTGGACAGCTCTATAACTGCATCTGACGCAAGCTGTGCTACCCAGTGAACTGTAAATAACCTGGAACGATAACTCCGCCGCCATCTTTGAAGCCACTCATGAGTGATGAGTTTGCAGGTTGCCCCAGTCCTTTTTTACAAAATGGCGTCAAAAAATTTTTTTGAAAATCGATAAATTTTGCCCTTTTCTTTTTGTTAAGCACTTGCCAACTCCTCCTTATATTAAACTAAGACAAAAGAACTTTAAATAAATGTGCTTAAAATAAAAAAATGCTTACCAAACAACAGAAATATCACACGTACAAGACGAACAACACGAGAAAACCGCGCGAAAATTTTTAGTTTTTCTGTGTTAGTAGACTTTCCAGAAAGGGTTCGGAGACATTTTGGCGTCAGTTATTTGAGAAAAGCTTAGATACTGTTAGAAATTCATTTCCGAGCATCCAGAAACTTATTGTTTTAAAGTTAAAATCAGATTAAACATGTAAAAAATCTTCGGGGGAAAATGAGTGTTTTTCATATCGCCCCAGTCCATATCTGGCTGGCAGAGCGCAAGTAATTTGTTATTTTTTAACATTTTTGTAATAAACAAAGTTGGAAAAAAAGTTTAAACTGCAAAATTAGTTTGTTATTGACTAGAATAATAAATGCCAGTTACTTGTGTCGTTTATGAAAACAAAACTTGCGTCAGGAAAATGAAAGCAAAACATATACTGCATTCCACAGGTAAGAAATTACAAAACAATTGAAACTTTAAAATATTTATTAATATTCAATTTATTTACATTTCAATAGTAAACACTACTATGACAATGGGTACATATTCATGACAATGGGTACAAATTTGATTTTTTTGCACCCCTGTTGACCTTGGTCAACAGGGGTCACACCCTTGTGCACCCCCCTATACATCCACCCCTGACTACACCATCCTCAACAGGGTCGTGCAGGCAAAAAAAAAATGCTGTACCATCAGTATTCAAATTGGAATTAAAACTGCAAAGCATACCAAAAGAGGCTAGAAGCCAACTGAAAATGCCTGAAGGAAGTTCAACCCATCAAGGCCATAAACATCCAATTATGTCACATGAGCATCTATTGTCCAGGGTTGGTAGGTTTGCTGAATAACTAGGCCAAACACCGTCACACTAGGCCTTTGTGTTCTAATAGTGCACTAGTTATGATTTGGCCTAATTATTCATCTAACTTACCAACCCTGCTATTGTCAACAACAATATCATCACATAATACAGG